CTGAGCCAGTAGGGAGATACGATTTATGTCGCAGAAGGATGCTTTAGAGAATGTTAATTGGGAGGTCTAGCAAAACAGTTTTTAAAACCATGAATAAAATTAAGACTGTGACTGTTAAATATAAGTTACATTTTCCCTAATGTCAGGTGCCATAAACTACAGCAGTCTAGATTTTCTCAGCAGGTGACTGTATTGCTCACAGTCAGTTGTCAGAGCCTTTCTACTCCTCAGTGTGAAATTAGTAATAGGAAAATTAAACCAATGAGCTGGAATCTCATTAAAGAAATGGAGAGAAAGAAGATGAATAAGAATATGACTAGGGTAGACCTAACTTCTGTGTCTGCCTGCCTATGATCCAAACCTCAAATTTTGACTCCTGATTTTTTAGTTTAAACTTACTGGTTTAAATTCTTTCTCCCTGGTGAATTACACTTGAGTTAGACCTCTCCTTTGGTACACTGCAACACTAATTTGCTTTTTTACCCAAGTGGATATGTTTTCGTTAATCTCTCCTAAATTTCATATAATTGATTTTGTTCCACCAATTAAGTTGTCTAGCAAATTTTGTTTGTTACCCAACACGGGAAAAGGCAGCACAGTTCTTTTATTGTACTTTCAACTAAACCCATGCAACATTTCAGGGATCAATTCTACTTTTTAAATGCTAACACTAAAGTTTTAATAAACCACTACATGAACAAATTGTGATAAATCCATTCAATGGAATGTTTGTCAGCAATAAAAAGAAATAATCTATTGGTAATGCAACATGGATGAATCTCAAAATTATTATTCTGGACTGGGGGCATAGCTTAGTGGTAGACCACTTGCCTACTATGCAAAAAGCCCCAGGTTTGATCTTTAGTACGGGGAGAAAAAAACTTACAGTAAGTGAAAGAAGCCAGATACTATGGTCTACAGACTTTTGACTCAGTTATATGACATTCAGGGAGAAAGTAACACTATTGGGACAGGAATATAACAATGATTGCCAGGAGCTGAGAGGGCAGAAGGAGTGTGAATTAACTAAAAAGAAGCCTGAGAAAACTTTTAAGTAATTATGGGAGTTACACAACTGTATGGCTTTGTCGAAATTCAGCCAACTCAAAAGAGTAAGTAAAATTTGATAAAAGTAAAGTAAATTCAAACATGATAAGTTCAATTTTTAAAACTATCCCATTATAGAAATGTTAGAAGACTAATTAAATATAATGTAATAATTTAGAGTTTCTAAAACCCTTCTCTTTCTAATTATAAGTCATGTTTCTCTGTTCAATTTCACTACTTTGTTTTCTATCTTTTATGATTTCTCCAAGATCATCTCTGAAAACTGTGCCTCCATTTCTTTATCTAGAAATATGGCTTCTTTAGACCTAAAGAAAATAAAGTCTCAACTCCATTGATTGTACTATTGCTAGTATTAAATTCTTCAAAAAGGCAGCAAAGTATCTTAATTACTATTTAATTTTTTATTTGATAACAGAGCACTACCCTCCCCTGCTCCCAACCATTGGTCCTATTTTTGTATTATTCATCTTCCTCATTCTTGGAACACAGACTTAAAGTTAAATCCTACTACTCTAGAGATCAGAAACTCCCAGATGAAACCAAAGGAACTTTCAGCCTTTCGTTATCCCAATTAATAACATACTCATAAGATCCCCACCCCTTCTGCTCAAAAGGTGCCTCCTGGAGGTAACTAATACTCAAATACTGGCAAGTTACAATGTCAGGTAGAGTGTGAGTTAATAATAACAGTTCCGAATTTCAGACTTCTTATTTCAGGTCCATATTTTTAGAAGCAAGAGAGCCTATCAGCTGGGAGGTATTTGTGGTGTGGCAAAAACTATATTTATAACATAGATAAAGAAGAGATTTATATAGACTTATCAACTTTGTACTTGATTTTAAAATTCCTGCCCTTACACCAGAAAGTGAGTGAGAAAAATTATTACCTTTCAGAACTATAAGGAAGTCAACAAGAAAATTATGATGTCAGAGAAACTGAGCTAAAACTGCTAACAGAAATGCAGATTACAAAAAAAAAAAAAAAGAATAACACTTCCATCCTGAGAGAAACATAAGGGCAAAGGCAATTAGTAATATACAATCTCATGGGTAAATTATTAATTCAATTCTTTGGGTCTCAGTTCTTCATCTATATAACAGAAATAATAACAGCTACTTCTCAGTGTCACAGCTAATATTTTATGATGTGTTACATGCAAAGAACTTAGAGCCTGGGTTATATTTGTAATTCAAATAGTGGCTATTAACTTTAATATCTATCCACAATGAAAATACACACTGTATACTAAGCTATTGTTGAAGAGATGAATCACAACCAAGAGGATGTGGCAACATAGATGAAAATAAAATTTTTCTTACAGTACAAGAAACTCTAAACAGAAACAAAACATGAGAAATGGAGCAGTATATGTCCAGAGCCAAACATCTGGATATTAAAGGGATGGTTTCCCTCAGTTCTTTTGTCGATATTACTACAATTATTTCTACTACTACTCTAAACAATTCCATTTATTATCCCGACTCTCTGATAGATCTCAAATCATATGAATTCTCCTTTAGTAGTTCTATCACTGTAGAAAAGAGCTGAAATCCATTTTTCTGCTCAACAATAGAAGGGAAGGTAGAAAAGATATGTATATATCTGAATTTGGAGAATATCTTATATTACAAATTGTGGTGCAAATAACTGTGTAAGCCTTGACTAGTGTTGCTTTTTAAATGATTGGAGACTGAAGTAGTTTTTAAAATCTATGATGGTTGGGCCGGGGATCTAGCTCAGTGGTTCCACTGCCTGCCTCTCAAGTGCAAGGATCCGAGTTTAATTCCTAGTACCAAAAAAAAAAAAAAATCTATGTTGATTATGACTGAGGCATGGGGCAAACTTTGTAAAATTTTCAGAGGAAAGACTGGTAATGTAATAAAAGGACATGCAAGAAATTTTACCCTTAACTATGAATACATTACAACCAACACTCATTTATTGAGCACTTAGTGTAGGTCTAGCATTACCTGAGCTCTCTGCATGGATTAACATAAATAATAATTTTTATGGTGGATCCTACTATTACTTCCAATGAAGTATATCAGCAGGCTGTCTTAGATTCCAAATTCCTTCTTTGCATTGTTTTAAAATCTCATTATTGCCCTTGCCTAGCATGACAGAGGCTCCAAGTTTAATCTCCATCTCCAGCACTGCAAAATAAAATGTTATTGTATTGGTCAGCTTCCTGCTGCTGAAACACAGTACCTGACACTAATAAATTACAAGTGAAAAGGTTCATTTTTACTCTCAGTTTCAGAAGTTTCAGTCCATAGTCAGTGGGCTCTAAAACAGAAGCATCATGGTGGAAGGCATGGTGAAGGAAAGGTCTTTTCCTCATAACTCAGGAAGCAGAGTAGAAGAGAAAGAGGACAGAAAATAGATACACCCCTCAGCCTCCAGTGACCTTCTGTTTCCATCTAGGCTCCTCCTCCTAATATTCAGCTATGAACGCATCATGGATTAATGAGTTACAAATATTGTAATATATATATAGCATTAATTGCCTTTGCAAAGCCCCTCTGAACACATGAGATTTATGAGACTTTGGGGGGACATTTTAGATCTAAACCATACTAGAAGTTACTTCTCTTAGGATATATAATCTTTAACAGCAAAATAATTGTATGGTTTAGATCTAAAATATATATTATAATATATGCATTTATGTGCATAGTTTGTGGCAATCATATTTTGCTGTAGTACTATAAAACATAAATTATGGGAAGCAGACCAAAAGTATAACTTCATAAAAATTTATACAAGAGAAAAACTTGTGTATTTTCTGTTCCCAAGAAGAGTGAAGCTACAGTTATACATATATGTCCAACAACAGACATCTGTCATGGTTCTAAGGGATATCTATGCTGAGATTACCACAAAATTTCTACATTTTTTGTGTTTTTCTGAAGCAAAAACATTTATTGGTACATTTTAGATATATATAATGATAACATTCACCATGAGGAATTTGCACCTGTACATGATATGTCCTGCCTCTTCTTTTTTTTCCCATTCCCCTCTCCCTTCTACATTTGTTCAATAGTTAAAATTATTAGCTATTAGTTAGCTTTCAAGACCCAGAGAGTTGCTTACATGGTAAGATAGAATTTTATCCTCTCTCACATAGGAATCTGGAGGTGAATAGGTTCCTTCCATCTTATTCTGTCTCTGCCATCAAGGTTATTATCCTCATCTGTATAGTGCATATATTTTGAGGAGAAATAGAGAGAACTGCATATATTACTTTCCTTAGGCTCTTTTATGGATAGATTAATATCAAGTCAAAACTTAGTTGGAAAAGAAGCTTGACAATATAGTCTCAAATTGGTACCCATGTGCCCAGAAAAAAATTCTATTATTATGTAAGAAGAGAAGATGAAGTTAGAGGAATCGGTAGCTATCAGGTGCATTTAGCCAAGTATGATTTCTTCATGTTTGGTTTATTCCTATAAAAGCATATATGATACTCTTGAAGAGCAGATGATTCCTACACATGGGAAGTTACATTTCTAGCTACTTCCTAATGGAAAATCAAGTCATATATTAAATACTCAGACTTGCTAATAATCAGTGCATATCAAGTCTATTAGTTACAAGTCTTTTTCCAAATACAGTAAATTCCTCACTTACAGATGAGTTCTGATCCAGGAGAATTGATTATAATTTGGATTCACTCAAAAGTCGACCAAGTGAGTCTTACACAGTATACCTGTGAAAGTAGTGACTGGAATATTCATAAGTCAGGGACTTACTGTAGGCCCTAAACTTCTTATGATTAAGAACAATACTTGAATTATGTAATATCTTCCATAATGATCAGAAACGTTTAGGAAAACAAGAAATTCATGTTCAGTTGAATGTTCTAGATTAAATGGGGAAGGGATTTCCAAAATATTTACCTGTTTTTTCTACCTCTTCTCATTTCTAGTTTGATCACTCATGGCTTTGGGACTCCAGCAATATGTGCAGCTCTAAGCACTTTCCAGACAGTCCTCAGTGAGATGCTGAACTACTTGGAAAAACACACTTCGCACAAAAACGGTGGAGCGGCAGATTCTGGACAAGGACATGCCAACTCGGAGAAAGCCCCCCTGCGGAAAACTTCAGAGGCTGCCGTGAAAGAGGGAAAAACAGAAAAGACGGACTAGCTGCATCAAACAGAATCTATTTCCAGAGAGTGTTGCTGCTGATATTTTTTCTAATATATATATCATTGAGGGTGACTAATCTTCAGTGGACCAAATCACTACCTTCCCCAACCCTACATTAGAAAAAAAAAAGTGGAAATGAAACATAAAACAAAAAAAGGACAAATTTTTAAAAAAATGAAAAAGGGAAATAGCAGTGTAATTGTGTGATGAAATTGTCACTTTTTAATTTTATGTTATAATTAATTCCTTTTGTGCACGTAGTTTATTGTTCCAAATTATATACACCACTGTTTTTAAGCACTTCTGGACTTTGGAGAGGCAGCAAATGCTTTTTCACATTTGACTGATGCACTTTCTTATCCTGCTCTGTAGTTAGGGATTAGAAAGCATGACCAAACTATAATCTACCACCATTGCTTATAGTGCCAGTCTTTCTTGACTTAGCTCCCTGTAACTCAAGAGTGCCTCTTTCCATTATATTGACCAATCTGAAAATTAATTCATTAATAAATATTAAAAGGACAGTCATGAATTTCTGTCCTATGAACTGACAGTAGTTCTAAAACTTTTGGTTACTTCTCGCCCACTTAAGTATCAGTGCCTTGGCGGTATTTTAAAATTTCAGAAAACTCTCCTTCGACTATAATGTTCTTACCCCCTCGTGGATTTATTCAGCCACCTAATGGTTAAGTAGATATTCAGAAAGCAGACGCTGTAGGAATGAGATAAACTCATCTATCCATTCTTCTGATATCACCAATGTAACAGTTTAAGAAAACAGACTGCATTGAGTGGGTTGGGGTAGTTTTGCTACTGTTGGACTTGATGGGAAACAATGGCATTGTTTTCCCTGAATTGCATGGGAATAGGAACAATGATCTTTCTGGGAAGTCCCACCTCTCAGAGACAGGAGATGAGACCAGGTAACCAGTGGAGGCCCCTTTGAAGCACTGTGGCTGATGGTTGTGAGGTTAAAACGAGAGTCCTTCTTTTCCTACCTTTGCGCTTCTTCTACTTTCCCCAATAGATGTGCTCTAAACCTTTAGAGGCACAAAAGCATTCAGGTCTGTGTTCAATAAAAAAGCAAAACAGACTGATCAGAGAAGACCTTTGCTTTTAAGATGCTTTCTTTTTTCATAGCTTGTTCTTATAGCTTCACTTTAGTTAAGGCACTGAAATCACAAGACTCCTGGTTGCAAAGGTCAGGAGATAATTGAATGAAAGTTTGGTCCATAGAAATCTGCCTGTGACAAGAAACCTGACTGGTATGACATTGTACTAACTTTTCTACTGTTAACAATTTTCAAACTTCTATGTAGGCAAATAAAAATATAGGTCAAAGTATGCTGAAAATCATTTAATAATGTGTGGACTCCCAACGCTTGGTTTAGCATGAAAATATTATCCTCTCATTAACATATTTTAATTACTTTTTAAAAATCTCTGCCATATTATAACCCCATGGGGAATATTAGATATTTATTTGAGAAGACATAGAGCAAACATTTTCATGTGAACATCACAAAAAACTATTTTTGCGGAGCAATAATTCTTAAAATCATTTGACTTTTCAGCTTTAATTGTGTACAGAAAAGAACAATTAGCAATGAAAATCTAAATTTCCCAGATTAAATTCAATTAATGAAAGATGCAACTAAGGGATTCTATATAAAGCAATTATATAGTTACAGCCAGTAGAAGCACTTAAAGAAATGTGAAACTAATGAATTGTGATTTCACATGGTTAGTTCCATTTTTAAAATTTTACCACTTTTATGGATTTAAATTTTTTTGAAATAAAATAAAATAAAGCTAAGATTTTGCTGAAGTTCCAAATTTTATCACAAAATAAATGATTCTGTCTTCCATCCAATTTTCTATATTGCAAAATATACACATGAAACAAAAAGATAAATATTGGCTCTTAATAAGTAGTAGGAGGTTACATACAGATAATGTGGACTGCTATTTCCTTAATGAAATTTCCACACTAATTTTCTTTTATTCCATTTATTAATAATACATATGTATTTAATATGGCATTTTGATATGCATATCTGCTTGGTCCTTAACGTAATTATATACCATGTCAAATGTTCACCGATAATTGGATGAAAAATTATATTTGGCTTTTGTTACTAGCTTATTTCTTTACCCTTAGTTTTGACTAGTTCAGGTTCTAAGTACCTCAGTGGGGTGTCATTATTTATTAGCCTTGAAAACAAAAAGTTTAACTATAACTACAGTGCATATTATTTACCAGAAGTTGGGGCATTTTAAGAGCCTTAAATGGACAGCCCCCACCATGTAACTTCACCAGCCATTAGAGCTTAAAGGAATAGATGGACTGGTCCTCTTCAGAATCATTATTTATTATGATATTCTAATAGGCATTGTTAACATATCAACTTTTGCCTTGTATATAATAGTTACCTAACACTTTTTAAATAAATGAATAAATGAATGTGTGTTTGTTCTTTGTCCAAAATGGGTCAAAGGACCTTCCAAGTGTGATGTTTTCTTTCACATTCAGTTATTCAATCTGAATTGCTTCCTCCACAGTAATTTATTGATGATTACTTTTACTTGAATAAAGAAATATTTCCATGAAAGTACATTCATTGCAAACACATATATTTAATATATAACAATAATGAAAACTAGTTAGTTATCAGACTCTCAATAAAAATAAAGTTATAAGTATTACCATTTTCATAGTTTACAGGAAAGAAAGGGAGATAACAAGATATTCTATGTTATAATAAGAAATAAAGAAATGCAAAAGTTTTTTCAAATTAACTACTACTTGCACAGAAAAACTAATCAAGGCTTTCATACTTACCCAAAATAATGACAACATAAAAATTTAAACTTCATGAAGGAGTGAGTCAAATTTCTATATAAACACATTTGTTTTAAGTCTGTTTCAATAACCAATTTAAATATCACTATCATGACTATTTCATTAGAGTTACAATTTGGCTTAAGTTTGATGGCTGTAGAAAAATAGATAAAACCACTGAATTGCTTTGTATTTTTATCTCTGGAAAGATCAGTGAACACTGTAAAGATATTTCTTCTCTGGCCTTCTTTACAGGTAACTTAACATAGGGATAAATCTTCCTGGCATTGAAGTTTCTTTTGCTTTTTCTCCTGTGTTCTCTTTGATGAGCAGGACAGAACACATCCTTTAGCCCTATTGGCATCTTGATCTGTGTGTGGCAGTGATAAGAGTTTGACCCTCTGTCAACTGGTGCTTGTAGTAAGGTAAATACGTCAGCAAAGTATCCTTGTTGAAGAGAAAAAAACAACACAATTCACTTTCTTATGTTTACTTCTTTTTGTGTCTCTTTGGAAGCATTTTAGATCAATGAAATATTTTAAATGTATCAAAATTCTTCATACAATCAATGTGTCATCTTCTTACCAAAACCAAGTCGCTATGTGGGAGGTGGCAAAATCCAGTGACTGAGTGTGGACTCTAAAGCCAAACTACCTGGGTTTGAATTGCAGCTCTTTCACTCATTATTGCGTCACCTGGGGCTTTGCTGAACTCATTTGTGCCTCCTCAGTATTCCACCTATAAGAAGAAAATAACATTAGTTTCCTGCTCACAGGATGGTTGTCAGAGTCAGTGAATGTACTGGAAGTGCTTAGAGACAAACAGTGGAATGTTGTTGTTATGTGACTTACGCTTAAAGTTTGAACAAATTATTGTTAAAGTAGAGATCAGTCCCTCTTCAGGGGTGGGAAATCAAAGAAGAGTGTTGTGATAAGGGAAAGGGAGAGGTGGAGATCAAAAGAAAAGGGACTTTGTGAGAATCAAAAAACATTTCAAATAGGAAGAAAAAGTGCAAAGGGGAAGGGGAATTGGGAGGGGTAGGGGAAAAGAAAGAAGGGAATGGAATATGAGAAAAAGAAAAAATGGAAACAAAGTCTTTGTAGATAGGGAGGAGTGGGGGGGTTGAAGGGAGGGCAGGAGAATGGGGAAAAAATAAGAACCAAGATGGATTATGTAGAGGTGCAAATTTCCAATGATAAATGTTATTATATTGTATACCTTAAATGTACCAATATAATTAATAAAAAATTTCAGGCAGAATGCTAGTTTGAAAACTAGCAGAAAAACATTATATTTTTGGTTATTCCTACTTTTTTCCTGCAACAATAAATATTTTTCCCATACTGCTGCAGGAAAAGAATATGACCCCAAAGAGTGTAGGTAACAAAAGAGTCAAACTTTTATACATGTTTTCATTTTCAAAAACTCAGGCCCTAAGGAAAACTGGCGGACTAAAATCTTATCAGTCAAGAGCTTTCCTTCTTACACACACACATACACACATGCACATACACATCGGAGACCAGAAATAGCCCACAGTTAGGGAAAGGATGAGTAAAATGGGGAATTTTAAACAGCTTAGCTATTGTTGCATCTAAGAGATGGGGCCATGTCTGGTGGTGAGGTGAGCATGTGAATCTCAGGACAGAGGGTATGACCATTAATTTTGATTAGTCAACTTCACTGGATTAAGAAATGCTGAAGAGTACATGCTCCTGGATCACAGAGATGTGACGTTGGTTACCATGTGTTTTCTAGTTCTTTCCCCTCTGGCATTGTCCCCCTGTTCTGCTTCCTCACCACATGAACTAAGTAAGCATCTTTGCTGCTCCATGCACTTGTGCCATGATGTTTCTGCCTTAGCCAGCAAAGCATGGACTGAACTTCCAGTAAACACCAGCCAAATGAAATGTATCTTCCTTTAAATTGTGGGTGTCAGGTATTGTGTCTCAGTGAAGAGAAATCTGACTAATACAAAGGGGAACTATGTCCTCACCCAAAATAAAATGTCAGACAGGAAGAAAATCTAGCATTGTGCTGAAGCAAAGGAACTGTCTATATGGCAACTATGCAGGTGATACTTACACAGCCCCATGGATTAAAAAACAAAAACAAAACTGAAACCATGGCACAAATAAAACAGCATGATGTGGGTGCAAGCAGAAAACAAACAAGTTGTAATTGTTGTGTCAGGTTCACCCAGAAGCAGCCCAGATAAATGGCAAAAATACAGAGTCCCCACAGGCTGGACATAGCACACACAGGAGAAACCTGAGATAAATATCAATCAAAGACCAGATAGAAACACAGAAACCCCACTAGGATTTCAAAGAAAGAGTATTTTTCAAAGGGAAGAAGACAAATGAATATAAGAATACTAAAAGAGCAAAACTGAGACACTGTGTCACCCAAATATTAGTAAATGAAACAGAAGCTTCCTATTTCATATTACCTATTATACATTTTAGTCCTTATTTACACTTTCAGTTTCTCACACCAGAGAAACTATTCAGTATTTATACATGTGTGTCCTATTTATTTCACTTAAGAGTATCGCCTCAATGTGCATCCACTTAGCTATAAATGTCTTTAATTTCTCATTTTTTATGGCTGAGTAGTACTCCATTTAATTAAAAAAACACATTTTCTTTATCCAATCTCCAGTTGATGGGCATTTGGGCTGTTTCCAAGTTTTAGCTATCACAAACTGTGCTGCTATGAACATGGAGGCACATATATCACTGTGGTATGATACTTTTAATTCTTTGGGGAAGATCCCCAGCAGTGAAATAGTGGGGTCAAATGGGACTTCCAGCCCTAGTTCTTTGAGGTATCTCCATACTGATTTCCACAGTGGTTGCACCAGTCTACACTCCCACCATCAGTGGAGCAGGGTTCCTCTTTCCCCACAGCCACACCAGCATTTGTTATTGGTGGATTTCATGATAGCAGCCATTCTTTCTGGAGTGAGGTGGAATCTCAGCATTGTTTTCATTTGCATTTCTCGAATGACCAGTGATGTTCAACATTTTTTCATGTATTTATTTGCTATTTCTACTTCTTTGTCTGAGAAATGTCTGTTCATTTCAGATGCCCATTTTTGGATTGGGTCTTTAAATTTGGGAGGTCTGATCTTTTTAAGTTCTTTACAGATTCGAGATAGTAGACCTTTGTCTGAGGAAGAGCAGGTGAAGATTTTTTCCCACATTGTGGGTTGTCTCTTCACACTGTTGGTGGTTTCTCTTGCTGTGCAGAAGCCTCTTAATAAGAAGAGATCCCACTTGTTGATTGTTTGTGCTAGTTCACTGGCAACTGAGGTTTTGTTCATAAAATCTTTTCCAACACCGATGTCTTCAAGAGTTCTACCTAACCTCTGTTCCAACTGGTTCAGAGTTTCTATTTTAATATTTAGATCTTTAATCCATTTTATTTTAGTTTAGTGTATGGTGAGAGATATGGGTCTAGTTTTAATCTTTGGCAAGTTGAAGCCCAATTTTTCCAGCACCATTTATTAAAGAGGCTATCTTTTCTCCCCTGAGGGTGTTTGGCTCCTTTGCCAAAGATGAGATGGCTGAGTGTGTCTGGTGTTGTTTCTGCATCTTCTAATCTGTTCCACTGGTCCTCAGGTCTGTTTCTTTGCCAGTACCATGCTGTTTTTATCACAGTAGCTTTGTAGTATAGTTGCAGGTTGGGGA